GTAATAGGTCCATTTTCCATGCAGCGTAGCTGTGTGGGGGAAGTCATGGCCACACAGGAAAGCAGAAGCAGCTGTGGAAATCCCTGTCAGGCTCTGTAATTTCAGTTTTGAAGAGTGGAACATTGCTCAGTCCATAAGGAAACTGGGACTTCCCCACAGAGACTCAAGGATCGCTGAGAGAATTCTGTGTCTCCTTGAGCCTGGAGGGCACCAGGCACCAGGGTCATGTCTGACCATAAAGGACACAGGTCACACAGCTATATCTTGCTGCTACTTATGTCCTATAAACAAATGACTGGGGAATTTCCTCACATACAGCTAGATTGTTCTTTTGGCTCAGGTTTCTAATCTAGAGCTCAGAATTACAATGCTAGTTTTGTATAAACATGTATGTACTGTAGCTCAGGGGTCTGCAACCTTTGGCACACGGCCCATCAGGATAATCCGTTGGCGGCCTGCGAGACATTTGTTTATGTTGTTCACCGTTCGCGGCCACTGGGAGCTGCGGGGGGGAGGGAGGGGAGTGTGCCCGCAGACAGTCAACGTAAAGAAAAAAGGCTCCCGTGGCCCGTCAGTGGATTACCCTGATGAGCTGCGTGCCAAGGCTGCCAACCCCTGCTGTAGTTAGTGTTTCTTTATCTTTTTAGCTTCCTGCTCTGCTGTATAATACACTCTTGCAGACGCTGTTTGTCATTTTGAAACCTGGAAGAGGAAGGGAGAATCTGTGCAGCAAAACAAGACATCCAAATGTATTAAATTAGCTAACTAAATACAGTAGAGATCATGTTTGCCATTCGGCTGCCCTTCTAATGACTCCAGTGTCTGCACAGTGGTAAAATGCAAGAGAATGCCTTTGGAGCACCAATTGTCCTCTGGAACATGTAGTAATAATAAAATCATACTATTCTAGATAAAAGTGGATGCACCTTGTTATTTACACAGGTGGTTAATGGAAGCACATTGTTACCTGATGTACTGAGAAAGTCATTCTTCAGAATGTAAATATACAGATTTCTTAACCTCAGTGCAGTTGTTAATTTATAGCAGCTGACCAGAAAACAGACCTCACTCACTTCCACGCTACTGCTTCCAGCTCTGGGACCGTCTCTGCCACCAGAGCTGTATTCTCTTCCAGACAGAGGGGCAGACTCTTCGCGGATATAAATTGTCCTTGCTCCATTGACAACAATAAATCTCCAACAATTTACAGCAGTTGAGGATCTACCCCAGACTATCTTACAGACCTGTGCAGTTCAGAATGCTAAATTGATGGGCCATAAAAGGCCCTTCCATGTGTTTTTGCTGTGCAGTTCATGAGTTCTAAGTCCATGCTCATGAAGAAGATGCTAAATGGAGGTAGTGAATTTACCTTGGACAGGTTGCAACAACCTCATTGAGGGATGGATTATGGCTAAATGATGCCTACTTCCACCTACAAACTTTGACATATCTTTGCCAGACGCTCCCTTACAGTCCGGTCCCCTAACACCGGAGCAGTTATTAGTCATTCAGAGCAGGTGGATGACATGAGCTTCGAAAGGCAAGCTTGCATCAGGAGTGAAGGGGCCATCTTCTAAGAACAGCCCTGTGACCTGTTATTTTATTTTGAATGCTGATCTAAGAAACATACCTTTTGAAGGAATGAATATTGAATAGTGCTGCAAGACCCATTTCAGAACATGAGTCGTGTTTTTTAATCATGTTGGCCTCAGTTATTAAGTTCCCAGGTGGAGTACTGTAGAAATGCTTCACTCTCACCAATCAATGTTTGAACAAACACCCTCATGACGCAGCTATGGACCTGATCCAAAGGCAGTGGAAAGGCACACAGCGACTTCAGTGGGATATTGATCATGGTCTAATTAAATACTCTTATTTCACAGATGGTGAGATTCAAAAAGGGACGTGGGGGCCTAATTACCCAGCACCTGCAGCTCCCACCAACTTCAAATGGAAGTTTTGGGTACTCAGCACCTCTGAAAAAAACCACACCTTAAGCAACTTTTCAAGGTGCATTTTGAAAGTTGATCTGGAATAAACATGTTATGGAAATAAAGAAGATGACTCTGACATACTTACGGGCTGAATTCTGCCCATAGATTAATGGGTGTAGTTTTCATTAACTTCAAAGGAAGTCCTGGGCACATATCTGAAGGCAGATTTTGGCCTTTTGAATCCCTTTAGCCATAATACTGCCGTATTAGCTGAACACTCACCTAGGAATCACCATTAACTTTATTCACAGAATGTGCTTCTTCCATCAAGTGACAGTAATATATCTTTTAAAAGCAGACAGCACAATAGAGCTTCGGTGGGCATTTTCTACTCCATGCTCCCCAGTCTTGGCAAGAAGCTACCTGATTTTTAAATCTTGTTCTGTGATTTTTAGCTGTGTTAACTGAAACTGGGGTGACCCAAAGTTTAGTTTGAACTAGTTTTAACAAAAGGCAAAGAGTATGAGATTGTGCTGCAATTGGAAAAAAAAAATTCAGAACATTCCAACAATTATAAATAAAAACATCTCAATTTGCCCTTTTCCTACCCACAAAAACAGAAACCCACCCACCCACTCACCCACCCACACAAAGAAGTCTTGTTCAAAGACCCCTTTCACTTCTGAATAAGAATTGTTTTGTGGGAAGTAGAAATGAACTAGTGCGAAGAGGATGAAGGCAGGGGATTTCTGTGGGGGAGAAAGAGAGAGAAGCAGAGTGCAAGTGAGCCCTTGTCTACATATCACTTACTTCAATATAACTTATGTCACACAGGGGTATGAATAATCCACCCCCCTGAGCGACGTAAGTTACATTGACCTAAGCGTTGGGGTGGACAGCCCTATGTTGGCAGGAGAGCTTCTCCCGCCAATGTAGTTACCGCCGCTCACAGAGGTGGAGTTATGATGCTGATGGGAGATCTCTCTTCCGTTGGCATAGAGCGACTTCACCAGATGTGCTACAGACAAGGCCCTAGTGTAGACTAGCCCAGAGTTTGAAGCTGAAACTCAGAGGTGCAAGAATGTGCCAAGAGAACTAGGCAGCAGATGCAAAAGCACATTCAGGATTAAAACCTAGACTGGAAGTTAAAGGTTCTTAAGATTTTGTTCAGCAGAAGCTGAAGAATGACAACTCAGTAATTAAGGGTAACACTTGTTTCTCACTAAGGTCAGAGAAAGAAATCTCCATACTTTAATAGAATTATTTACGACATTTAAGGGTACTTCTGTTCCTGCAGAATCAAGGACCAAATCCGGAGGGGGAAAAGCCATCTTTTGAGAACCCAAATCAGTAGAAGATGAACCAAATCAAGCCAGACTTAAGTGGAGGCTCCTGTTCTGTATGTCCAACCAGCTGTCTTGCCTTGTACCTGGGACTAGAGACTTAAAAGCCTAAGTGGAGTAATAGCTAGGACTGTCTATCATAATATCCAGCTAAGAAGCCTTTAAAATACAAAAACTAATCTGAAAGCTCCCGTAGCCTACAAGAGAAAAGAAGAACAAATTGTTCAGTAACTTAAAAGTTTAACATCTTACTTAAATAAGGCATTGAAACATTTGTCTAGGTTGACCCTTTTTGTATCTGCAGCTGACAATGAACACTGCTAACTGAACGGAAAAAGTGACCTGTCATCTACCTTTCAGTACAACATAATATGAACTACAGAATTACAGGGTGTTCTATTGTGAGCTGCTTTTAACAGCTAGCAAAAAAAGTATAATTTAGTTTATTACATGGGTGGAAACCTGAATCCTCGATCTTAGGCTTTACTGAATGTTAATTCGTTTGGGCTTTGTCCAGTAGGAAGAAATCAGCCTTTTGATAACACTAGTCAAAATGTTAATACTTTGTTTAATGTGGCTTCCAAGTGACTAATAGTCCCATAAAAGGAAACATAGGGCACTGGGAAACTCCTGCTGGCTAACAGTATTGTAACTGGTTTCAGAGTGGTAGCCGTGTTGGTTGTTGTTGCTGATACAGACTAATAGTCCTTGTGGCACCTTAGAGACTAACACGTGTATTTGGGCATAAGCTTTCATGGGCTAAAACCCACTTCATCCGATGTAACTCTGGCAGTAGCCACATCCAGCTATCCTCTGCCATGAGGGGTTCCAGCAATGCATGGAAGTGGTGGGGATATGAAGGTAAATGGGAAGAGAATAGGAGGTGTGAGGGAACCACATATACACAAAAATCCTCCCGGTCTCCTAACACAACAAGGGTTCAGTTGAAGTTAAAAGGTAGGAAATTAAAAGTCAAGAAGAGGAAATGCTTCAGTAATTAGATTGTGGAATTCACGGAAGCCAAGAACTTAACAAGGTTCTGAAAGGGACTGGCCATTTATATTCTTGATATCGATATCCAGAGTTATAATCAATGCCAACAAAAATGTGGCTGAAGCAACATTAAACTTGGGTTTGAGGGTTTAAGCCCTTCTCCAAATATTAGTTCCCAGGATGAGACCTAATAGGGGGTGTATGTGTGTGTGGGGAGAGGATTTTTCATGTCTGCCTACTGGGGGGTTCTGACACCTTCTTGTCCTCTGAAGCATCTGGGACCAGCCACTGTCAGAGACAAGATACTGGCCTAGATGGACCTTGGGTCTGACCCAGTCTTGCAATTCCTATAATCGTCTGCACCCATTTAGCCCCGGTGATGATATACTTTAATTTCTAATGCTGGGGAGCAATTCTTACCACATATAAAATGGTAAATCTGGGGGGGGGGGGAAGAAAAGAGTTTTTGGATGGAAACTAGCATGCCTAAATCAACCGGCACATAGAGCCAGGGCCTGCCAATATAAAACTAACTAAATAATAAAATCATAAATGATCAGACCCTTGGATTGAGAGGAATAGGCAAGGATTTCTTCTAACTGGAAAAATGAAACTAGCACAGACTTGCTTATCTACGGGGAAGGAAACCGAGCTACTCAAAGATAGATGGGGTTTTCTGATGTGGGAATTCCCGCCTACACACTTGTAGATTAAGTGAAAATGCCCTACAAATAGCAGTCCAGAAGCTCCCTCTGAACCCCACACCACATCTACTTGTCTCCAACTGAGCAACAAGTGGAAGAGGAGCAGCACCAGCTACAGAGCTGAACATGAAGTCTCTTATTCGTCTCTCACTCCTGCTTCTCCTGGCTGCAGTTCTGGTGCAAGGTACAGTAGCATTTCCCGCGGCACAGCTTGATGTTTACATTATTCCTGCAAACTTTCATTGCTCTTCACTCCTCTTTCCTGCAATGTGTCTTAAAATGATCACCTGTCTCAAACCCTTAGCACAAAACCCCTTGTTAAACGCTTTGCAGTCTCTTACAAGTGTTATGTTAGAGATCAAACCTGCTAAGAGCTGCACAGACACAATATCAGGAAATACTTAAGGCAGTAAATAAGAGGCAGCTGTTGACTTTGTGTAATTGACAATGCAAAGCAAGCTACAAGCAGGAAAATTCACTCATTTTGTACAATCTTATTTTGTTACTTAACGTGGTTTCTCCCCTCCCCTTCTGGAAACTGGTCTCTCCCAGCAGCAAAAGTCTGATTTGTCAAGCAAAGTGTAAATTAATGCTCAGTTTATGGTAAAATAGATGCTCTTCATTACAGAGATATAATTTTATTATATATAATCATAGAAAGGGAAGGTATAGGATTAACGTATCAGAGGGGTAGCCGTGTTAGTCTGAAGAAGTGAGGTTCTTACCCACGAAAGCTTATGCTCCCAGTACTTCTGTTAGTCTCAAAGGTGCCACAGGACCCTCTGTTGCTTTTTATAGGATTAACGCCACCAGCTCCATGCAGGTGCTGATGTGCAAATGTCTCCCACGCAGCCATGATCATGCCCAACTTTCATTTATTGAGGCAGTGGTTGAAATGTTATTTGGAGCCGCCTCTGCTGGAAATGAAAGGGTTAAATACTGCTTAACAAGTGATTCTGGCCCAGCTTCTCAAAGGTATTTAGGTTCCTAACTTCCACTGATTTCAATTATTCGATTTCCTGAATACATTTGAAGAACCGGCTCTCTCTGCTCTGATCTGTCAGAATACAATTCAGACACAGGCAATAGGCCAAAAAAACAAACAAACAAAAAAAACACAACAAAAAACCCCCACACCTCTTATTTTATTTCACCTGTCACAGATGCTAAACCTACACTGACTTTGGTGGAGTTACACCAGCGTAAGAGAGGAGAATTTGACCTAGTAGTTTTATCATAATAAACAATGTTGTGCTCAAATGTATTAATAAATCCGTATTCTTTATGTCATCGTAGGAATGCCAACCTCCAGCAGAGGACGCTGTCTTTGTGTAACAGCTGGTATACGTTCAATCCACCCAAAATATATTGCAAAGGTTGAAATATATGGGCAAAGCAGCAGTTGTCAGCAAATCGAAGTGATGTAAGTGCACAATTAATACCGTGCAGCGCACATTATTTTAGTATTTATTTGGTCACTTCCTTTTCATGCTAAGTCATCTTTTCTCCTGACAGTGTCACACTGAGAGGGAGCGAGCAAAGAAAATGTCTGAACAGCAAATCCAAGCAAGCATCACGCCTGATACAGGTAAGTCATAAGGATGCTGCCTCTGTCCTGGCTTTTTCTAGAATGCTCCACTTTGAGCTTTTTCGATGCAAGTTGTAGGGAATTCAACTTTGGGATTTGAGGAAATATTTTACTTTAGTCTGTACTAAACCCTTTATAAATCCAATGTTAGACATTTGAGAGACAAGTCTCAGCGCTTATTATCAGTCTACTACATATCTTTAGCAGCTGAGTTTCCTGGATCTCAAACCCCCGGGACTGACAGTACTGGCATTTTGGTATTGGGAGATACCGTTGGATGAGAGGATCCCCTTTTAGCACAGCGTACAGGAATCCTGGGTTTAAACCCCTTTTCTTAAATCACTGAGTCATCATTGTGCGGCTTTGTACTGGGTCTTTAAGTCAAATAAATCAAGATGCTCATTCTGGACAAGGGCTTATGAGCTCTTAACTTTAAAAAGGCCTAATTTGCATGCATTGTATTTACATATTAGATGCAACGAGGAAGCTGATTCTCTGTCTGTATGAAGTATTATCATTGACATGAGAGGCAGCAAGCTCAGGGCCTAGATTTTAATGTCACCCCTTAGTAGAGACCTATAATATTGATGTAGATCAAATGCACAATATAACCCTTTACAAAATACACTGTAATGATTTCCATTATGCACAGAAGTATAGAAGAAAAAAAAAATGGATGGATCAGTGACTCCAGTAGGAAACTAATCCTTTGTGAGATGGTGAAACCCAAGTATAGGAATACAAAATGGGGTAGTGGAATAAGCTTGTTTAAATAATAATTGCATGCCCTAAGCTAGAGCACATGCAGAAACACAGTGATGGCCCGTTCCAAAGGGCACCTTACAAAGCGGGACAGCTGTTCAGAAACAGGCTCCAGTGCACCTGACAGTAAACTCCAATAGGAAGTTGACCTGATCGCCTAGAATTGTTAAATGAATAGATGGACTGTGCATAGCTCAACTAAAATTTTACTTTATAGAAGAGCCAGGCCTTTGGAAACAAATGGTTAACCTAGTAACCATGTATAACAGCTTCCTGCAATGGAGTCTGAATAGGAGATATGAGGCTTTCAGTCCTGGGCACTTGAAAGTTTTCTGACTGGGAAGGGAAATTTGATCATGAATGTGGCCCACGTGTAGTTGTGTGTGTTTCTGGTTTGGCATTGCCTGCCTGCTGTTTGTTCTTGTGAGCATTTGTGGGTTTTGTGGTGCACCATGCTTCCAGTTCACTGAAGCAAAGTTTTCAAGTGAAGCAGTGTCCTCTGTTGGTTACAATGGGGTTCTGAGAGTCAAGACTGCTTGGTTCTATTCCCAGTGCTGCTAGCTAGTCACTGTAAACCATATTCTGACACATTCACACCCAGCAAGTATTACTCTAATCCAGAAATAATCCCGTTGACTTCAACAGACTATTCCTGGAATAAGGGGCTATTCAGCATAAGTAACGGTATCAGCATCTGGTCCTGTGTGACATAGGGTAAAGTGCTCAACGTCCATGCCTCAGTTTCCCCACCTGTAAAGTGGGGGCATTGATATTTCCCCACCTTTGTAATGCACTTTGCTATCATGGAGATGCAATAATGGAACATGCTTCCACTGTACTTGAAGGAGGCCAGACCAGAGAACTGATAGTATTTTTTCCCCCTTCCAGAAATTCTTGAGGAGAAGTAAGTAACAGCAGCGACCCGAAAGGAAGACTGTGCAAAACTACTAGTGACCATGACTGCTCATGCCATTTACCTGCTCACAACGAGGCGAGCACCCAACCAGCCGGACTCATCACTGGAGTGCTATTCCATAGCTTCTAGCCAAGAAAGTACATCATGATGTGTGATCAGCCCCACAGCAGATAAAATATTTGCAACTGTTTTTCTGTGTCAACATCTGTCATCATTCTGAACACTGGTTATTTTGACTGCTATTGTTTAGCCTTGTCAGGGTTTTTGTTATCAGGCACTTGACCTCAGCCAAAGCAGATTTGCTAAGACATGAAAAAAAAGTAGGTCCTCTCTGATATGCATTTACCTTAGAGATCCTGTAGACCTCCGTCCCAAAGAAACCAGTTGAGTCTTTTGGGTCAATCATTTATATTCTATGAATATTCAGGAATAGCATTCTCCTTTTTTAAAAAATATGCAAGGGAAACCCCCATTTAGATAAAAATAGCTTGATGCAAACTAACAAAAGCCAGAGTTTTAAAGCTTGGTTTAACTCAAAGTACTGGTTTATTAGTTTCATAAGAAAGTTTAAGAGGAATTGTCACCCTCCGTTTTGGATTTTTATCTTCCATCAGTTTATATCATACTGACTGTAACATTGAGACAATTTGTCATGAATAGTAAGTATAGATGTACAATCATTTCAAAAGACATACAAATACATAAAGGTACATTTTGTTTTTTGTCTGAGACTGTAGATTTTTTTTTAAACATTGAACTAATATCTTGAATTTGCACAAGTGTTTTGTAAATAAATAGATGTGTTGGATACAAATATTGTTTTTTTCTCTTCTAAGGAAAAAAATACATACCTCCCCCAAACACACTGTGAATAATATTACTGGACTCAATTTGGCACAGACCTTCAGCAGACATAAATCAGCTTAGCACCACTGCTTTCAATGAAGCAGTGTTTGCGTTGGCTAGGGGACCCGTCCAGTATAACAAAGAATTCAGTAAATAATTCTCCCTCTCTCCCTGCCCTGCCATTCTATTCCCAAAGCATGTCTACACTAGCATGCTGCAACTTACCCCTGCACTTCAGGGGCTCACAGTTCTCATGGGAACAACATTACCAACCCCAAAGTTTAAAAATCCCGAGTTAGGATCCCCCCCCCCCAAATGGGTTAAAAATGCCCTCCCCCTCTAAATGGGTTAAAAAAATCATGATATATTTTAAAGGTAGGGGAGCAAGTTGCACACTTTGTTACTTCAGCAAACTGAAGTCCTTGTGCTCACCATTGGCTTCTTGTCCCTCCATTCTCACCCACAAGCACCAGGTGTACCATCCTCCCCTCTTCCTCCACTTCAAGGACACACTGTAACTAGCCCGCACCCCATGCCAGGGAGTCTGTTTTCCTGCACCCGGAGAACACCCCTTGCATCGGTGCAGGATGTTGCTGCTACCTTCGGCTCCAGCACCTCCTGCCAGCTGCCTGCCTCTGGACCCAAGTCATCTGTGGTTCAGGCCTGTGGCTAGATCACTTAAGTTCAGACCCCTTCCAAGATATCATAAACAAGCCCCAACAGAACTGAACAGTTCTCCTACCCCTCTGGGCTACCAAAGTCCTTTTCTCTCTCTCTATTTACAAGCTGTATCTCAGGGCTTCCCTGGCAGGAGCCTACACCACTCCCATATCCCCTGTTGTCTGTACCTGGACCCTGAACTTTTCTCAGCTGGAAAAACCTACCCCCTCGACTCAAACCAACCACCCTCAGTCTACTTATTACAGCTTAGCTCTGCTCCCTCTGGCCAGGAGCCAGGTAGTGACACCTCCCCAGCTGCAGGGCATGACTAATTGGGTGCCTGTGCTACTCTTGCAGGTGGTGGGGGTTAAGCCTTATCACAACCCCACCCCCTCCCCAGGCTTTCTATGCTCCCCATTCCTCCTACATAACAGTGGTTCTGTGTGCCCTCCCCCTCCTCTTTTCTTCCCATGCTGCAGGTTCTAGGTGGCCACCTACCAGGGTCTGTGTTCTCTAGTCTCTTATTTCTATCAGACAAGTGTCACAATTTATAGGGTGTGTGTGCTCTATACCTCCAGCTTTCATACAATTTTTCTGAGAGAATCAGCTTTGTTCTAGGCCCTAGACCTTTGCTTTTTGCAGTGGTGAGCCTTGCACCTCAACTACCCCACCACCAGGACCTCTGGCTTCTCAACATGGCTCTTCCACCAGTCCAAGCAAGTTTAGACCCCTGGGAGAGACTTCACCCCTTTGGGGAGTGACACAGCCAGCAGGACAGCCCTTCAAAACAAGCCAGAATTTATCAGTCAACTGGAATACAATATTTAAGGGTCCTCAGGTTACCATGGCAAAGCAAAACTTAACTGAGAGCCCATGTTTGCAAAATTACTTGCCCTCTTTTCCAAAGCCTCCTGGATTTCATCTGTCTCTCTGCCCTAGAGAGCAGCAGCAACAACCATATATCACCATCTGCCCACATGTAGGCCTTTCTTTCAAATTGCTTTCATGCTGTGTTCACATGTTCTGCTTCCCTTGGCTCCAGGTGTTATCTAGTTGTTGGTACTTCATTATACCTCTGAGGCAACTCCTTTGATACCCTGACAGTTAATTCACACCAACCCACCCATGTCTATTTAACACCAACACCCTTATTTCCCTGTCACAGGGGAGAAATGAACTCCTTCACAACCAGTGGGTAGCAATATGACGTGAGTGGGGGAAAATGAGTCATACATCTCTTCATAATATTACCACAGAAATGCCCATAGTCTCGGCAACAGGCCATTCAGAATGTCAACATTCTAAACTGAGATGGGGGGTGTTGGTGTCACTAGGCATCACCCTAGGTAACTCGGGGGGTTGGAAGACCCGAGAGTCGATGAAGCCCCCCCGCTCTAGGCCAAAGTGAATCAAAGCACCTGCATGTTAAACTTTACTAACCTCACAGGCCATCAGCTGGGAAGCAGTAGTGATAAGGGAAACTACATGCTTCTAGCTAAAGGACAAGATTACTTGCAGAAAGAAACAGTGAGAACAAGCTGCATGGCCAAGGTCGTATAATGTAGCCAGAGGGAGAAAGGGGGAGAGGTGGGTATGGAGGGGGGGGGGTGAGTAAG